GAGTTAGATATTTACATCTGATAGGACATACCTAATAAGCAGACTTCATAAACAATTCCTGGATTTCGGGGGAGGGTGGCTGAAGCCCCCTGCTTCACTTTATTGTGAATTTCATAAACGTGAAGTTGGTTTTTCCAAATTATACGAATAAGCGTGTTTTGAAATAAAAATTATAGAGTGAATAAATTCGGAAATATTTATTTGAGATATGACCCACATTTGTTAATATGCAGAGGGGACGAGTAAGAAATCGGTCAACGTGATTAAAATGTTCGGACCATGTGTTCAATAACCAATAAACATTTGCCAAATATAAAAAAACATAGATAATTTATATGCATGATGATGTTTGGTGATTATATACAATTTCAACACGCCTCGTCAAAGAACAAATTAAACATAAAACTATACATTTTTATTTTTATTGTCTTATTGACTTTCATTCATTTAGACTAAATTTTTGATGAGGTATTTACTATTTTTAATTGTCTTCTAAATAATTGAATAGGTAGTTAATTAAACTAAAATCAATTGATCAAATTAATTACGAATCGTATCTCGTATCTGATACTTAAAAGTTTAAGCCTGCAAGTACAAAATCCATTAAGATCATTATAAATTATGTAAATTTAATATTTAAATTACCCATATTATTATATTTTGAGAGTTTCTTCCAAATATATTCACGTATAATTGTAATGTATAATGTATATCTTACACAATATGGATACACATAATATATTAAAATCAAGCGATTACCTATACCTATAATATTTAAAACTCGACGTAATTTACTATTAAGTATTAATACTACCATAAATAAGTAGGTAATTGGAAATCCAGATGTCATCGGTCATCATAATGATAAAAACTGCAGTTTATAAGTTATGTCGACAAGTCGTTTGGATAAACTAGTTCAAGAGAATAAGATACCTAATTTACTAAATTGCATATAGGTACATAATTATAATACATATACACCTATGATTAAATCGATTGTGATTTGTGAGCAAATATTATTGTAGTTATTTTTTTTTGCGTTAACACTATTTCTGCACGTATAGCACGTGCGACATTTTTCTCATTTTAATTGTTATCATTATCTATCAAACATAATATGACCAGACTTAACCTTATTTATTTAAAGGTATACGATACAGATTTCGGATCGTTAACATTTAAACGATATCTATATAACTGTAAAATTATTTTTAAACAAAATTGAAATGAACACGGTGCCGTAAAACATAAATAAATAGTATGTATAAATGTATTATTATTAAAAATTATGTTTCTATAGAATAAAATTTATATTTTGGGAATACTACACTGACATATCATCAGAATGATGATGCCATGTAAAATATATTTCAAATACTCGATTGAGCCGAAATTTCAGCAGGTATTAACGGGACTTTTCTTATTAATTGTACCTATACATTATAAATATATAATATATATATATAGGTATGTACTTTGCCGATGGGCATGTTATACCTTCGACGTAATTTGTACGTAGTACGATATTTGATTTTATTATTTAAAACTTATTGAAATATTAAATTATATTGTCTTTGTATATAAAAAATTTTAATTTAAATTCTGGTATATTGGAAAAAATTTATGCAAACGTATCATGCATGTATGTCACATTTACTTTTTTCAAATTGTTGATTGATGACTGTATTATGAGCCATGGGTAAAGAGTTTTTTTTAATGTGGGTGTGTATAACAAAATATTCTTTAGGTCAAGTATAATTTACCTATGTATTCCTAAGTAGGTTACCTATAATAATTATAGTGACAAGGGTAAAGGGAGATGGAAAGGAGCAGCTGCTCCAGGAGGAAAGAGCAGATAAAAATAAGTAGATAATTTAATTGTTACATAAGTTTGTGTTAGAAAATATTTTATTTGAAAAATAAAAAATATTTTTATTTAGAAAAAATACGAAATGAAATATGTATATATAATAATCCTTATGTGTGTGTTGTTGTTATGTGTATTTGAATTCTTGGGTATAACTATAAAGTGTTCGGGGGTATAGGTAATTAAAGKGCTTTGGTGAAATGACAAAATCGGAAACTAACGAGTTATTCCTTAAAAACATTTTTTCCAAATACGCGATAGTAATTTTAGATATCTTATTAATATTTATCAATAAAACACGACTTCTGTGATTTYAGTTCAACTCTACAGAGTTAAGATTTCAGTGCTCGTAAACATTACAGTCATTACTCATTACTTTAGGAACTCTTATACTAATATAATAATATGATTAAAATTATATATGTTCTATARATTTTCTTCACTGACCAAAGTCGTATGTCATTGTTTTATACTATGTGATAGGCAAAAAAGAGTACATACTGTAGAGAAAACTTTTAACATCATCAAGTATTTTCTTTATAAAATCCTAATTGAGATAGGAAATAAATATAAATAAAATGATACAATATAAAAATAGAGGCGTGTAAAATATTACAGTATATAATTTTTAACGATATATTCCTATAAAAAATAATATAGTATACGATTTTCAACTTTTAACTACTTTGAAGTGCAATGATACGCACAAGTCACAAAGCACACATTTTTAATGACGTGTTTGTGTTTCAGATGATAACGGCTATGTGTTGCAGCGCACTGCGACGATCACGTTCCCGATTGATGAGACGATGGTGCGCGACAGCGGCGGCCGCGTGTCGGTCATCAAGTCGGTGGCACGAATCTATGCAAACGCCCCTCAAGTACGGGTCCACGTATACGGTCGTCTGCTGAAGTCAGCTGATGCTGTTTCACGAGAAAATCCGTCTCATGTCGCCGATCTCACGTGGCCGAGCGGTGGCGATGGTCGATGGATGGACGTGGACGTCACGCGCTTGTTGCGGCCGCGGAAACGTTACCATCGTGATGATGCTACCGGTACGTCTCTGGAACTCTCGCTGCAGTATTCGGCAGCCAGAACGATCTATTTTGGAAACGAAACGGACACGGATCACGGCCGACATCCTGTTCTTCACTCTTTCGTGGACGGAGCGGTGGACGTCGGCTCGCGTTTGGCGACAGTGGCCGTCCGATGTCCAGGTGAAACGAAACGGAAAAAACGAGACGGCCGCGTTAGTCACGGCCGCGGTAAAAAACGTCGTCGGCCTTCTCCGTCCGGTCGCGTTCGTCGGACCGACTGCAAGRCCGAAATTTCGGTGGCTGTGGGGAACGACAGCGTGACCGAGCACAGCGGCGGAGGTGGCGGGAACAAATGTTGCCGGGAACAGATGCGTGTTGTTTTCGCCGACATTCCAGGTTTCGATTTTATAGTCGAGCCAAAGTGGTTCGATGCGGGCCTTTGCCGGGGACGGTGCCCTGCAAAGTACAATCCGGCCACCCGGCACGCTTTCATCCAGAGTCTGTTGTGGAAGCAGCACAACAACAATCGCCGCGGCAGTAACGGGGAGAAGCGGTCTCGKAGAAAGGTCCGTCACGGCGGTGCTAGCGCGGTGGCTACCAMGACAAGGGCGCCTCAGCCTCCGCCCAAACCGTGTTGCGCGCCAAGCAAACTTGACCGGTTGCAGATCATTCACGTCGACGAGACGGACCCGAGCTCGCTGAAGGTGACCACATGGAAAGAAATGGCCGTTGTGGAATGTGCGTGTTCGTGATCGACGAACTTCGGGTTAAGTTTGACCCACCTCATCCGACACCAAATGCTTCACCGATTTACAGTATTATTTCATTTTTTTTATAATCGAGTACATTGATTATTTTTGTATGCGATGTATGAAGTCTCGCTCGGAATGTTTTTCTTGCCTCCATAGTTTAATATGTTGTTAACGTGTTTCATTCAAAACGTGTGTCTTATATAATATTTGATCATTTGAATATTTAATTATCGCTGTAAAAATTCAAAATTGTTTTTATATCATGCTTTCCAAAGATAATAATATCTTGGATAACGATTAAGTAGATGGAAAAAACAGGAAACATTTATTACTTAGTGCTTCTTAATTCTTATACAGGGCATTTTTATTTATTTATTTTTTATACACTGAATAATGAATATACGGGTTGTCAAGTGTTGAAAAATTTCGTATCGATGTTAAGAAAGGTCACATGTACATAATTACTAGGGGACGGACTTGAGTGTTTAACACTTACTATAGCCCTATAATAGTTAATAAGGAAAGATTTGTTGATCTCGGCGTTATGGTCGCATACTGTTTAAGCAATATAACAAATATTTCGTAGGTWTTATGCATGCGATATAATATGTGTGTTCGATGACGAATCGCCAAGATGTACGGGCCAAAATTATATTATACTATTATTATTTATTGTATAATATCCTCAAAATGATCTAACGAATTTTATATTGTTTACGAGTCTAATAATATTAGGTGTATTATATTGTTTATTACGCATTAGTCATATTTTCTATTATACAACTATATAGCTATAAATTCCAATGTTTAGACTTTAGATGAGTGTTCATAATATATGATAAAAATGATTTGATGGTTTTGTACAAATTGGTAACGTAAGAAACTAAGAAACCCGCTAAAGCCCAACTTGTGTTCATATATTTTTTTATAATATTATAGTCTCGGAAAATAAATACTTAACATTATAACTGTTATTATAGTAAGTATTTATATAAACGAATCACGGTCAAATTTAATGTCGCTTAATTGAAAACAATAACGCAGTCGTCTGCACTTAGTAACACCTGTTCGTTTATTTATGAATTATTGTTTGTAATTTTATCTTTGCAGTTACGATTTTAAAAAGTTTAAGCGCTCTCTTAGTTTAAAGAGTTATTGGATATATTCTCAACTAAAATGTTATTTTAGCCCTTATATAGGTGTGGATTATTAATTGTGGATTTATTTGTTAATTTATTAATTTATTATTTTATAAATGATATATTTTAATACTTCGATATAGATATACCGTTGTCACTGTGCATAAMTGTACCATACAATTATTAGTTTTGAACTCCAATAACAAAATATGACTAGATACCTATATGGCATTTAAATGTGGTGTGATGTGTTTTTATTACTCGCGTGAGCATAGAGTTATGTAGCGTTGTAATATTCTTAAGCACAAGTTTATTATTAGCATTAGCTCATTATTTTTAATATTTTTTATACAAAACCATGATCGGACGAAACGGCATATTATATTAGGTATATTATAGTATTATCATGATTAATGCGCTATGTCCTCAAGGTGAATCCCATCCTATTTTAATCATATTATAATATTTTAATTTGTATTATAATATGTAATATCATAGAGATATTAGAGTAAGCATTTTTTGTTTTTTTTTTCCATAATAAGTAATGCGTTTTTCTGCACTACATTGTTGTTTTGTATTTTATATTTCATATTTATTTTATGTATATATAGATATATATTTTTTTTTACTGTACATACCTACTCAATCCATCGACTAAATTATATCGCATTATAATATTAACGCAATCGGAAAGTACCAATACTTAAAACAATTGTTAGCTATAAGTCTATAATACTAATTTATTTTTTATTTATAAATGTATAAACAATAAATCTTGAGATAATTTTCCAACCGATCACATCCAACATACATTACAAGCTAATACATAATAACCTTTAAGGAGGTATAAAAAATACAATATTAGAATACGTGAAATAGTTTTGCTACCGATTTTGTAGTTGTTCGTTCATTTTTCTGTTAACCACGATTATAGTTCTATGGTATCTAAAGAAACAATAAATCATTCAACCACATGTTATTAATTTATATAGACAAATGATAGGTAACGCTATAAGGAATAAGTGATTTAAATACTATTACATTTTAAGCAATACCTATATTTTGACTGTGATATTTTTTACCTATCATCAATGTTATTAGTAGTTAAAAGTATATGTACTTTAATAGTTAAATGTAGTTGATTTCAATTTTTCTGTTTTTATAAAATAAATGAATAATAATTAATGTCATAATAACAAGTGACGCCTGTTGCCTGTATAATATGTTTAATAATATTATAATGATTGTGAAAAAAATAAATGTCTTTGCGTTACGTTTGTTTTTATTTTTTATTTTCATTATTATTATTTCTCTAGTGCCCTAGAAAATATCAAGGAAATAAAAACAAAATTAAAATGTCGACGAGTTCTGGAAGATGTGTGTAATAATATTTACAAATGACAGAACTCATTCAGAAAGTATGCGGCGTTTACGAATGACGAACTCTAATTATAACTTGTATTGCAGTTATTTTCAGTACGGATTGTAACTATTATATAATGAATAATGATAATACGTATATATTATATATATAAATATTATGTACTCCGCCTCGTTGTTTATATTTGATTTTACAAGGAAATACTTAATAATTATATTGTATAATAATATGTAAATTTAGATCAACTAGTCAACACTGACAGAGGTGGGCGACGATTAAACTCGGTTTAACGATCAAAACAACATTTTTTCGGTGGTAAATTATGGGCCATTGGAATGTCTAAAAATACTTAAAGGCACAAGCGTAGGTGGACCAATTTGGTGGCATTATTATCCATTTGTAAACGGCGTTGTTTTATGAATACTTAATATATATATATATATATATTACAATAATATAGTAGTTATCGCGCGCTGACATTTGTACACAGGTAACCCGTAGTACAGCTTTCAGCAGTACAATATATATATATATAAATACTTCTTTCTTTCACGCATTTTTTTTTTTTACATTTTACGTGATCGATAATCTTAATTTATGAGTACGTCTCTCATGTAACTACATAAAAATTGCGATAATACAATTTAATCGAAATCTCGTCCAAAGTGAAAGTGTTTTTTCCATAGTCACATTATTAACACCTATGTAAAAATTATTTTTTTTTCCAATATGAAATACGACCTTCTTACAGCACCGTTCGATTCACAATTTACTTACGTGCACTGTGCAAGATCAGATACTTGTAACAGGAAAAATAACCTTGCCGGAAATTAAGGATAGTTTAGAAAATTCACAACCGTATACCTACGTATCATACATAATATTACGATGTATTGTAATCATCTAGCCAAAGTCAGTTAGTCCACAGGTGTCTTTTGCCAACGGTTTTCTATTACTGATCATATTTAAATATTTCTGAATTAATTATGAGCTAATTATTGAGTATTAATTATATAACTACCGCAATGAAAATAATAGAAYTGTAATTCATAAAATTAATTTAGTTTGCCTGAGAGGGAACGTTAATAGTTACGTGACACATTATAAAATTAATTTAACTCTGTAAGTTTTAAGTTAGCATGGGAAAATAATATTAACTTAACTGAGTTTAAAACAAACCACCTTATCTACATCTTTAATTAGTATGTGGATCCAAGGGCGCCGCGAGAGGGATGAAAGGGGGTGCAATTGCACCAACCTGGCTTAAAAAAAAATGTTATGGTATTGAAAAGATTTTTTTTGCATAATTATCTATTAAAAACTTACCGACGAAAAAACAAAAATAACTTTGTATCGTCATATAATTTTTAAAAAATGTTAACTAAAATTAACTAAAATMATTTAAACATTATTTAGAAATCATAGTATACTATGCACGATGCACCCCCCTGACAGAATTCTTGGCGACGCCTATGTGAAGATCACATAAATAATATTTTGTGCCTATCTACCTATAACAGGTATAATATTATTTCAACAAAATAAATAACCGACATTAATATTATTAATTATTATAGCATGCGATTATTTTTATTAAAACCTCGTAAAATTGCTGACGTACAGTATATAACTATTAAAACCAATAATTTCAATAACATTTTTAAATTTAATTGGAAAGATTATTTTTAAATCATCTGTAAAAGCTAAGTTTAACTAGTGAGTTCAAAAATTTAAAAAAAAAAACAAATTTTTAACTAGTTAATATCTTATTATGGTAATTTGCTATATTGTTCAACATTAGTCGCTCGCAAAAAAGGTACTGTTGGATCATCCAACTAATAGCATATAATTATTAATTACGTAATTCGTTACTATTCAACCGATTTCGAGAAGTTTTAACTATTAGTCGTAAAAATACTTAACATTTTACCGGCGTAATGTATAATATAAACTATAATAAAATACATAATATATTAATATAATTTATTAATGTATATAGAAAAAATTTTTAAGTGCGTATGAATTTTTAATTTTTACGAAAAAGTGTATCAATAACGATTTAACCTCAAATGATTTTAAATATTTGTTATTATTCAAAAAGTATAAGTCGTAGGTACTTGAAAATTTTACCAGTTATTTAGATTGGCATTTTATTTACWTGRTTTAATTTTCAAAATATTTTGGCTTTTTTGAGATATTTATAGACAACTGAAATTTTTCTGAAAATTTTTTTTCGAAGTGTCGATAAATTTTTTTGGCCCTATCAAAATACTTGAAAATTTAATACAAAGTTCCTCATAAATTATTCGTATAGTGATTAAAAAATTATAAGAATACATTGGCACAATTTTTTTGTATTAGCATTTGAAGTTAATGGGTAGAAATCAATCATAATATTATACATATACAACAAAATTGAAAATCAATTACAAACATTGGCCATAGTAGGTATGTGCTTTTGAAATTATAATAATTTGTATATGAAACTTACTATATTTTAAGATAACAAAAATTAGTTATTTAATCAATTTGAATTTATATATATATATGCATGTGTGACATCAGTTAGAAATTCACAATGAATAATAATAAAGTATTAAGTGTGTTCGGACTTCGACATCCTGCGTTCGCGCTGCCCAGTCCCACTGCCCTAGGTTGGCAACACTGGTCAAGAGACGCTCCTCTTCATCCCGGTCGTCGGCATGAAGCGCGCAACGGTCACGACAGTGTGTTCGTAGTATACGTATGTGTGTGTTGTTGTTGTCGCTGATTATTATTATATTGCCGTTCGCAACAGTCTTTTTACGACAACGTTTTTTTTTTGTTGTATATAACGCGTTGGTTTTACTGTACAACCGTCCGTTATTGTGGAAGATCCTCCAGATTCTGTCTTCCGTTATATTGGCGATAGAAAACAGGCTCCAGTAGCTCGCTGTCCATTGTTCTGCAGTTCGCAGCAATATCAGTGAGATTATATTCACTCACACCGTCCAGTTCGGACCCAAAACCTCGTGGTTACAAGCTCCAGCTCAAGTCGGATACATCAGCTCGTTTGCAGTTCAGCATCCAGGTCCCTCTTACGTATTGTGCATTGAGCAGCTGTCTYATTCACCTTTGTTGTATAATTGTAATATAATATAATATCTATCTGTATATATTATAACACTCATTGTATTAGAGGTACTCTGGTATGGGACAGAG